AAAAAAAAAGAAAATCATAAGGAAGAGAAAATACATTTACAGTATTATACCCTATTTACCAAAAAAAAAAAATCCATGTATAAGTGGATTCACACATTTCAAAATCATGTTGTTCAGGGTCGGCTATACTTTCAAGCATGTAACAAAAAATATATAAAAATTAGTTGTAAAAACGTCTTTGGTAGATATTGTTTGATTTTGTCTTCCTGCATTTTAAAATAAGGTAGAATTTAAAAAAAAAACAAGGACAAGTAGGGCCCTATTGTGTACATGACTGCATAAGGTCACACTCTTATCAGCTTTGTCTTATTTGTGGAAGATATGCTCTTAGTTGATTTTAACTAGAGATTAGCAGTATCTGACAGAAGTGCTACTGCAATCAGACTGTCAACCCTGAATTTTTGTTTATTCATTTATCATACAGATGTGTTTACTGAGCACCTATGCTGCGCCAGACCTGCGCTTTGCACTAAGCCTTAAAATGCAGAAGGAAAGAAAGGTGGTTCCTGCCCTCATGAATCTCGCATTCTAGCGGAAAAGACAGTAAGCAAATAATTAAAATTTGTCATAAGTACTGGGAAAGAAATAAGCAACAATGGTGAGAATGGGTTGCTGAGACGGTAATATTTAAGTCAAGATCCGATTCAAAGGATGAAAAGTGAGAAAAAGAAAATCAGCCCTCAGGCAATCAAATTGGAGGTGGTTAAAATAATAATCCTTTCTTACATTGATTGCTGTTTTCTCATCCATGACATCCTCCCACCTCTTGCTTCCTAAGATACCCATGTGCTGAAATGCCCCAGCTCTTTGACAGTATCCATTCTAAAATGAGTTCTTGCTTCCCTAATCCTTTCTTAAAATCACCACCATAAACTCAGATCCTAGAAGGCCCTTCTCAATTCCTAGTAAGTATGGTTTCTCTTGCTGCAGCAAGCTTACTACACCTAATATTTTTTACTACAGATGTGTTCTTAGTGGTTTTTGGTCGATAGACCTTAACAGGAGTCATTAGCCCAAAAAGAATGAGAAGATGAGCACTGGGAAAAGAGGGAATTTTAGGTGCAAAGATTCCAGGGGAAAAAAAAAAAGTTGACATGTACTGAACTGAAACTGCTTTTAGAGGTACCAGCAAATGGAAATGCAGATTTGGAGCAGGGACAATGGGTTAGCCACATGAAAAAAAAAGAATACTGGATCTCTCTCTCACACCACACACAAAATCAGTTACAGTTAGTACAAAGACTTAAAAGTGAAAGACAAATCTTTAAAATGCAGACAGCTAAGGTCTTGCCCACACCAGACCTATATCTAGGAGTGGGAAAAGGCAGAAAGAAACGGAAAAGTAAGAATTAAAAGAATACCGTTTCATAGAAGCCAAGAAGGAAGAAAAAGGTAAAATAGTAAAAGATAATTTCTAGGAAGCAGATTTCTAAAATTTTCTAAAAGTACGCATTTATATATAGGTCAAGTCCTAGGACATGAGTTTTGGTGTTGCAAAGTGGAGCTTTCATTATGAGTAGACATGGGGTGAAAGATCTCTGAACCTACAGAGAAATGGTTTCTTTAAGGGACTCTCCTTTCCGGAGGGTGGTATGGAAGGACTGGACTAGGGATTTCACCTTGGGAGGAGATGCCCTGACACCCCTTAGAAAGCCAAGCAGGAATCAGAAGGCCCAGGAAAGCGGAGATCACTGAGTCAGGCACAAAGAATGTCCCATCTAGGCCAGCACAGCACACCAGGACTCTAAAGTTCACAAAGGGGTTTGAAGCCAATGCCCAGCTAGAGATGAAATCCTCCCTTTGCCTGGCCTCACCCCTATGCACAAATCTCCCTTGGTGACTTAGCAGTGGAGTAGCTGTGACAGAATAGGGTTCAGGATCCTCAGACCCATTCTCGCTAACATTTCAAAAATTGAGTACATGCATATCCAACTGGGACTTGGGAAGCAAGTTCCACCTGGAAACTTCATTACTGCCTCTCAGTAGTGAACACCTGGTATTGGCGCTCATTTCTAGAACCAGATAGTCTCCCTTCACCGACAGGCAGACCTCTAGCAAGCCACCGAAGGCTCAGATTGATGGGTGGCCAGCACCATGTTCACTACCTTCACATTCTCTGTTCTTCGTCCTGTCTCATCCAGAGCTGAGTGGCCAGCATGTTACTAAGCCTTAATAACGGTCATGACTTTGGAAGATCTAGAATGCATGTTCAACCTCAGAAGTGTGGTAAGTTTATAAAAGAAAAGGAGAGGGGTGATTGGGTGGCTCATTTGGTTGAGCGTCCAACTTCAGCTCAAATCGTGATCTCACGGTTGCCAAGTTCGAGCCCCACGTCCCACATTGGGCTCTGTGCTGACAGCTCAGAGCCTGGAGCCTGCTTTGGATTCTGTGTGTGTCTCTCTCTCTGCCCCTCCCCCGCTCATGCTCGCTTGCTGTCTCTGTCTCAAAAATAAAATAAACATTAAAAAAAATTTTAGAAAAGGAGGTCCTTAACACAGTGAGGATGGGCATCTTCTTAAATCAAAGTAGAGAAAAAACTGAATGAAATAATCAAAAAAAGCCCAGGAGCCTCAAAGGATATTTTTTCAAAAATCCTTTTAAATCTCCTTTTAAAATGCATAAAGCACTCTGATTCCATGAATCATTTTGCTTAGAGATAAAAGATAAATTATGGTCAGTGAGTATAAAGCCTTCAAAAACTTGGTCAGTGAACAGAATGCTATAGCAGAAGCTCTGGAAGGGAAATTCAAACTCAAGGAAAAACATCAGCCTTAAAAAAAAATAGTTTTAATTTCAATGTCAAAGCTATTATAGCAAGAAAGATAAAGATCATGAGCAAAAGACATTCTGATCCAATAATGAGTAGCCATTTCCTAGGAAGAGACGGCACTGGACCAACTTAATAAGCAGACTGAATTTTTTTTTTTTTTTAAATTTTTTTTTCAACGTTTTTATTTATTTTTGGGACAGAGAGAGACAGAGCATGAACGGGGGAGGGGCAGAGAGAGGGGGAGACACAGAATCGGAAACAGGCTCCAGGCTCCGAGCCACCAGCCCAGAGCCCGACGCGGGGCTCGAACTCACGGACCGCGAGATCGTGACCTGGCTGAAGTCGGACGCTTAACCGACTGCGCCACCCAGGCGCCCCAGCAGACTGAATTTTTAATCTAGCTGAACCTGCATGAATGGGGTAGGGCAACAGAAAAAGCAACGTCAGGCCACAGTAAAGTTGGGGATATACAAAGGAACTTTTTTTTAGTTTATTTATTCATTTTGAGAGAGAGAGACAGAGAGCACAAGCAGGGGAGGGGCAGAGATTAAGAGAGACAGAATCCCAAGCAGGCTCTGCACCATTAGCAGAGAGCCAGACTCAAACTCACAAACCACAAGATCATGACCTGAGCTGAGATCAAGAGTCAAAGCCACCCAGGTGCCCCCACAATGGAACAGTTCTACTTCCACTGGAGTGGCAAGTTACTTCAGGCAAGGAGATATCACAGTGGTCATATTTATTCTCACTGGCACCTAAGGCACAGGATAAAATATATCCTTAACAGCAGTACTAATTAAGAAATCTTTAAAAGAGTATTTGTCAGCGGGGCAAAGATGGGAATGAAGTGGAACCACCCCAAAAAGGCAGGAAACATAGGAACTAAGAAATTTCAAAATAGGCAACAACAGCAGTAAAGGTATAGTCAACATAAAAAAATCTTTGGGCTCCTGGGGTGCCTGGACTGGCTCAGTCAGTGAAGCA